AAAAAAAAGGAAAAAAAAGAGTAAACTTTAAAACACCAATAATATTTAGACCCCACTATCATCTTTGAGGCCTCAAAGACAGGGTCTATAATGTATACACAAGCAGCTCAGCAGAAATCCAAGGGAAAGAAGGCTGAAAAGGCAGAATTCCCCACAGTCTGGGCAGTTTTAATTCCAAAGGAAAGAAACTGTTGGAAACAGATCAGAGTTTGACAACAAATTATAATATTCTTTGCTCTTCCCTGGAATCTCTCACTAACATGTAAATTCACTTAGGAAAGGACCTTGTCTGTCTTGTTCACTACTGTAGCCCCTGCCCCTTGTACTTTAGCTAGTAGATAACAGATAGGTAGTAGTTGTTTGTTAACTGGTCAACGAACCTACATTGAAAAGTTTCAGTTCATGATGCTAAATGTGGAGTCAACCAATCATAGATTCAAAGAGATGAAAGTCATTCTATACCTCTCTCCCACCAACATCGCCCCACAACTCCCTTTCCTGAGAGCTCCTGTGTCCAATAACAAGGAACCCACCACATGGTGGCAGAAGACAGTTTTCAAAATGAAAAGTACTACCATAAATTAAAAGAAAATCCACCTTCATAAACCTCCAGTTATGACTTCAGGAACAATCCCAAATAATCCAAGACCTAACTGCCAAAGTACAGCCTTCCAAGAATCTGCAAACACCTAAGCAACCTGCTCTGTCCTCCAGATCTCTCTCCAGGATAAATTCCTGAATATTTCCAGACCTCCCTTCTCCAACGTAGTTAGTCTTCGGGAGCTTCGCTCCAGGTATTCAATGCCCACTTTTAAGGGCATGGCTAGACCACAGGATGGTAAAAAGATTCAGCCCTGATTCTGGACACTATACTCTGGTAAGTCAGCCTGAGTTTACCATGAACTGATGAAAAATTCACAGTCCTCACACCTCTTGAACTTTTTCACATCTACTGTTCCCTCACTGCCCCTATTTGGATTTTTGCATTTGAATCATTGTGGCTGGGGTTGGAGGTATAAGATTAAGCCATGTATAAATTACCCCCTACAAATTCACATGTCTTTCCAAAATCCCTCAAAGCTCCTGGTRTTAGAAATTTCACATTTCAAAATAAAAATAGCTTCAGCTAACAGTTGTTCATATTGTATTCGGATTTGTCTTTAGAATAAGAATTAAAGAAAATCACAGATTTTCATGCCAGAAGGAACTTTAAATTTAATCTAATCCGATTCCAAAAGGCTAAACTGCTTCTAAGCAAGCAACTGGAATTGAGGACTTTGAAGTCCCAAGTGCAACATTCTTTCCACTACACAGAGCAGCTGTGACAAAGGGGAGAAGCTCGCCAAAAACTACTTGGAGTCCTAAAAACTCTTTCAAGTTTGAAGATTAAAAGTCATTTCCCAAAATAGGCTGGGTGCAGTAGTGCATGCCTATCATCCCAGTGGCTCCGGAGGCTGAGGCAGGAGGATCACGAGTTCAAAGCCAGCCTCAGCAACGGTGAGACACTAGGCAACTTGGTAAGATCCTGTCTCTAAATAAAATACAAAATAGGGCTGGGATGTAGCTCAGTGGTCCAGTGCTCCTGGGTTCAATCCCTGGTACCCAAAAAGAAACTAATTTCTCAAAATGACTTAATTTGTGGCATTTTTTTCTTATCCCTAAAAGCTAGAAATAATTATTTCTATTAATAGAAATAATTGAGATACATAAAGACTATTCTCTGTATACAAAAAAAAAAACTTTAAAACCCAAGTTATATTCACATCCCAAACTTGAAACCAAGCAAGAGCATGTTTCGGTTATCAGTAAGGGAAAACACACACATACACACACACACTCACACACGTACCTATCAATCAGGTTAGCCACAAGATGGCACTGCAGCCTTACTTATATCAATTTATATTTTAGGAAAATGAGAGTGAAGCAATTTCAAAGTTGATTTGGAGTTTGTGCAACGGTGTGTGGAATAACTTGACAATTACTGTTCAAGCCAAATACTTCACCAAACTATTTCAGTTTTATAGTAAAATGAAACAGAAATAAAGAGGGTTTTTTTAAGAATGAAATGATTCTATGTATTCTTTAATGTTTGCCAAGTACATATACAGTTTGTTTTAAATGCCAGAAGAGAATCAAGATTGTTCTATAAACAAAAGCAAAGTTGTCATATGTATTTATGGTAAAGGGTTTCATTAAAATAAAATCCCTATATTCTTTAAGCTTACATTGGTGCCCTGCCTCAGCACTAAATTGAGTTTCAACTGGGGAAAAGCCCCTGTGTTAGTCCAAGTCTTCAGGATCACTTTGAGAATTGARGGTAATATTTAAAAAGAAAATCAACCTCCCAAACAGTTACCCCACTTAAGCAGGTAAATCTAATGGAAAGGATTGTGACAGGATTCAATTTAGCAAACAGACATGCATTATTTGAAAGGTGATGAATGCTAGTACAGTGTGACATTGGTTCTGGCCTCAGCACCCCTCTAACTAGATGTGTGACCTTGAACAAATTAAGCTTTCCATTAAATTAAGATGGAGGTAATAACAGCTCCTTTCTCAAAGTGGCATCTGAGGATTAGATAATGTATGCAAGTGCTCAGTAGCATACCAGATGGAGATGATGGTGGTAGTGGTGGAAGTGGTGACAGTGCCCACCGAATCTTAGACTGTGGTATTACTATGAAGGCAAAGCCTTCACACAGTATCTGGAATGGAGTATGGACTTGGTAATAACAGAGGGTAACCATAATGCCTAGATATATAAATGGAAGTTTAAATTGCTTTAAGTTTAAATTGCTAAGAATAGCCTGGTTTGTTTTTCATCTATTTTAGGCTATAAAAGACTTCAACTCTAAAGTCACTACAGAGTTAGTGTCCCTGAGACCAGGAGGTCTCTGATGTAGTGGAACCTCACAGGGTTTGACTCCATTAAGTGGGCCCATTAAAGCCCATTTATAGATTAGTATCCAGTTATCAGAGAAAACATTCAGCCTTTGGTTTTGCTGTCATGTATAACTGATTAGAACAAAAAAAATTTWWAAAAAAATTAAAGCCCATTTATAGTTTCAGCCCAGGAATCAATTTAGCAACCAGGGTTTGGAAATTTCTGGGTGAAAAGTATTAATTTCCTTGAAACCTGCTGTATTGAACAAACTGAAAGAATTTCATCCTGACCTTCAACTACCAACTGTACAGTCACTCCTCACCCCAAAATTCTTGCATATCTCACTTTCCCCACTCCCATCCTACAAGACTGGAACCATACGCCTGACCTCCTCCACTTATTTTTTCAGACACAATCAAGTTACATGAGAGAGAGAGGAAATGTCTTACATAGGTTATAAATAAGAAATTATTTTAAGATGATTTCACATTAAGTTAAAATTCTCTCAACATTAATAAGTACAAACACTAACAGTCAAATGTTGGCACAGATATCTCTGCCCCTTCAAAGTTTTGGCAAGCAAACACCAGAGCAGACCAAACTATGATGGCTTCTGTGAAGCAGTATTTGTTGCTACAGCAAGTGCAACAGAAGTGTACAAATTCTTTYTAGGAACTCAACTGGAACTAAACATGGAATTGCTCAAATAATCTGTAGGCCAAATTTATATTATACTGAGGGACAGTATTCCCTCAGTTTAATTCATACTCAAAATGCTGGCCCAGAGTTTGTTCAAGTGACGTCTAAGTTCTTCTCAACTCAAGGAACAAAACGGAAAGAGAACATACCATTCGTGTTATCTATTGAGCATGCAAATATCTTGCTTCCATTTTTGTTTTTTTTAAGTGTTGTTGACTTTTAAGATACTTGTCTGTTTTGAAGAATTAAGGGGAAAAAAGGTATCTCTCCTGTGTGTTAGAATATTCAGGATAAGCTTTCACAAGCAATAAGGGAAAATAAAGTAGTAATGTTTCAGACGCCAACAGCAGCTCCAGCAGGGTCTCCATGGGAGTATATTCACCCTTCTTGGCCTACATTCCAAATGACTAGAAAATGAATGCAGAAAATATATATGTCTCCTGCCGACGAAAGTGCACCAACATTTCAGGGAAATCAACAGAAATGTCAGCAACTTCCTCAAGCTAAAACTGAGCACTGAGGACTGGTAAGTGAGAAACTTATTATAAAATTAAGTCTCCTTGCCCTCCCTTAGGTTTTTGTTCACTCAAGTAGCATGTGGGCTATAAGTAAAGTCCAAGAACCGTATAATATAAATAGAGTAGCCACAGTTTATCATCTAAACCAGGACACTTATGAGATTGAACAGGGTGCTATTAATAATTACTTCAGGACTAGCATAAATAGGACTGTCCCAAGGAAGCCCAAGGGGATGGTCTCCTTGTTCAGTATCAAGTATGACAAGTTAAACTGTCTAACAGCCATGGAGACACTGGAGAATACCTATCAATTTTAGGAATGAGCTTTCTTTTCATGAATACTCTATTGTCCACATTTTTACATGATTAATCTTAAAGAAAACAAAGACCAATAAACCATATAACATATGTATTCACTAAATTATATTAATTCTTTGTTTTATATTCAATATATGGTATAGTGAAAGCCTTAAGAAAAATAGGAAGTAAAGGGAAAATACTTTGTTAGGACATTTCATACCTTGGAGGACTGACCTACGATCATCAGTTTCCTGCAAATGGTGTAAATATAAATGGTGCCTAGGTGGAAAAAAAATAATGTTAACTTATTTTATACTCAAATAATGGAAATTGTATATTATAACTTCTGTGGTTTAATAAGTCTGTAGTCCCCAAAAGAAACAATCTCATGAGAAAGTCTAAAACTGTAGAGTTAATAATCATCATAATTTTCCTTGTCACTTGTAGACAAAAATCATAAAAATAACTAATATGGCCATACTTAAAATATCTCAACACAGGAATCTTTTAGTCTCATTTTTGAAGGCAATTCAGATTTTGAAATATACTAAACAAAAGAATAGTAGCATAAATAATGTAGACTGTGCTTTTATTAATTCATATGAAATGTTACTGTTTCCCCTGGTTTCCTTATGATTGAAAAACTAAAGATTTATCTCCAAATAAAATTAGAATGCATATTTAATCAAATGGCATAGTACTCAACAAGGGAACTCATAATAATTTAAAAGTCATATAACAGTTTATATTATATTCATTTGCAGTCTCACAGACATTTATCCCATTCTAAAAATATGTCTTATAAACAGGCTAATGAAAAATATCATTTCATTAAAGTATGATTTTATATCAGACCACCAAGAGAGAAGGCTGGTGCAGGGTTGGAAGGAGTGGGGGACATCACCATACATTCTTCTGTACATCAAAGCCAAAGATGCTATAAACATGCCCAAAAGATGGCAACATGTTTAAAAAGGCATGCAGTTATGACAAGTAGTCTAAATATTTTCCAAAAAAAATGATCTAAAATTCATAACCATCAACATTCAACCATTAGGAATCCTATGTTCATGTTTAAATTTTAAAAACTTCTGAGAAAACAGCATCTGCTCCAAAACATATTCCTTGATTAAAATATACCTGTAAGTAGAACAAACGTTATTTAATCAAATCAGCAGCAAATATGCTGAATATAATCTAAAATACTTATAATATCTTAAACATCATAGAAAATGCAACTGGTCCTTAACATTCCAGGACTCAGAAACAAAATGTGGCTGTGCCCATGATAGGTATTTATTTATTTTACCTAAGCCCCCCTAGGAAAGAAACTACATGGCTATTAACAGCTCAAGCCCAAAATGATTATCTCAATGTGGTTTTATTGACCAATAATTTTAATTTTTCTAAGGGAAGAGCTCTCCAGACTCCATGCCCACAACCCAACCAGCTCAGCCCAAGGTCAGCCATTCTATTTTTAATCTTTAAAAATAAAACTGCATTAATTGTTTTTCTTTCTAGGGGGGAAAAAAAGCCATCATGTAAGGCTAGGCACAGGAAACATATGCCTCCCCTCAAAACATGTGATTCAGGTGTAAGCCAGGAGCCTGAATAAACACGAGAAACTGGGGAACTTAAGGAGCTTGCCCTCCAAGAATGACAAGGGCCCTCTGTATCCCCAGCCTCATGGCTGCTAACTATAACTGAGTCCTTCTTTAATAATTCAGGATCTTGGCCTTGCTCKCAAATTCTCACTTCAGAAGCCAAAGAAGTAAGTGGTATAGGATAGAAAAGAGACCAAACTTTATGATCTCAGGGTATCTCTGGAAGTTGGTTTTGTTTTGTTCTGTTTTATTTTGCACCAAATCCCTAAAATGAGTTATTGCCTGATCCTGTGACTCCTTTTCACCAAAAATGGTCACCATGAAAATAATCTGAGTCTAAATTAGTTGGATTCAGGTTAGTTGAAAAGTAAGATATTATCCAATATTCGTACCCTTCCTCAAATTTCATAAACAATCAGGATTGGTTAAATATCTTAAGAAATCAAGGCTATGTATATATAATAGTTGATTAGAAGTAAATGGAGGGCTGGGGATGTGGCTCAAGCGGTAGCGCACTCGCCTGGCATGCGTGCAGCCCAGGTTCAATCCTCAGCACCACATACAAACAAAGATGTTGTGTCTGCCGAAAACTAAAAAATAAAAGTTAAAAATTCTCTCTCTCTCTCTCTCTCTCTCTCTCTTTAAAAAAAAAAAAAGAAGTAAATGGAGTAACTTGTCTCAGTAAAAAGGTTATCAAAATGTGTCTGACCTTTTCAATTAAACATATTTTTGACTACTTGAATTCTAAATTGTCAAAACTTTAAGGTCTATGCACTTGCTAATCCCCAAGCTGGAATAGCCTTTCCCCAAATATCAAGTAATTTACTCCCCAAATTCCTTCAGGCCTTCAACTATTACCTGGAGAGACCTCCCCTGACCATGCTATTTAAAATTGTAGGCCAGCCCCCAGTCACCTCTCTTACCTTTATTTTTCTCTATCGTACGATCACCATCTAACACTATTTAGTTTTGATCTATCATTTCCCTGCAGTAGAAGCAAGCATAGGAATGGAGCTTTCATCTGTTGTCCCCTCCTGTGTCCCCAGCACAAAAGACAATGCCTGATTTATGGGAGGTACTCAGTAAATTTCAGATGAATACATTAAAACAGGGACAGTAGTGAGTACAAATAAAAGCAGTATGTCTATCTCCCAAAACCCCAGCAATCATACTAATGGGCATAGATCCCAAAAGACTCTTCACATGGGTCTATAAAAGGACAAGTGCAAGGTATTCATTCAGAATTATTTGTGGTAGGGCAAACCAGGTGCCCATCCCGAGGGGTGTATGAATACCTGGAATACAATTCAACAGGGAGAATTCACAAATTAGATTTACATGTAGGAATCTGGATAGATTCTAAAACCATACTGGGCAAAGCTGAGGAAACAGAATAGTCTAGGCCGCAATACTACATGTGTAAATAAAAATCACACTAAGGAAAGAATATAGAAGATACAGAAATCATTTAATCTTCTAGTAAAAGGCTTTCAGGGATTTGTTTACTTGTGTCTGATCTGATCTTAAAAGGACTAAAGATAGGGATTCATGCTGCCTACCTCTCCAGCAGGCCAATGATAGGGCTTCTCACCACCTTTTGAGTGCTGGATCGCTGTTCCCGCTCCTTGGTCCCTGCCAAGATCTGAGTAATTTGGGTAGAGAGATGGCAGCGGCAAACAAGAGAACCATTGATCCTCTGGAGGATGATTAGGCACAAAAACTTAATAATCACTGGGCCAAAAAAAATCTGATCCAAGTTGGCCTCATCTCTGGGAGCAAATGTGAAGTTTAATTTCAATCAAAATGTCAAAACATGATTTGGAATGGGTGAGGAAGGAAGAGGCTCTGAGATATACTTTCAGTTGCCATGGGATGAGGGAAAATCCAATATATTTTCTTCAGAGTTATTTTGCCTTGGTCTTACACACATCGAACACACTGTCACTGTTATTTTTCATTCAGTAATACATTATCCAACAACACACACACACACACACACACACACACACACGCAATTCAGAGAACAATATATAGTAAGTGACCCAATGTAACTTTAGAGAAAAACAAATGTTACTTTTTTATAGCTAAGAAGTGATTCTTTACACACAAATGTAATATACATATTTGGGGGGAGGGTCTCAGAGCTCCTCACTAATAAACAATTAGGGGAAGAAGTTGCTTCACAGAAAGCCAAAGCTACTAGCCAAGGTCTGTGAGCAGAAGACCAATAAAGGATGATGGTTACCATCACTCAAACCTGCTGTAACCACTTGATCTCTCCTCTACTTAGATCTTACACTTGCCTATTTATTAACTGTGGTCCCTGCTTTTGATATACACAAAACTGATTATCCCCTCAGTCTCTGACCCTTCTTCAGTGGGAAACCTAAAATCATGTATTAAAAGTCCCTATTTATGAGGATAGACTAAATGTAATACAAATGATTTTAAAAACCTACCACCATCATGTCATGAAATGCATGTTTTAAATCACAAGGCAATAAGTTACTATCAAACCTGGCATTTAAATAGCTTTCTGAGAGAATCAATGGAAAATAAAACAGATTGGCACATACCATTGAAGATAATCCAACAAAGGTGCTCTTGTGGCAGAGCTACCTCCATGATAAGCCTTAAGGAGAACAAGATAGACAGACACTGGCTCACAGATTCTTTATTCTGCAGGTTGACATCAGCATCACAGAGCAGCTGGTAATTGCAAATATTTTTGGCACTCAAAGCATGAAACTGAAATATATGGAAAAATATAAATAAGAATATGAATAAGGTTCACACAACCCAGGAAAGCATTTCTCAAAATATAAAAAAACTAATACAGAAACAATTAGGCTTAATTAGTTTAATATATTAGTATAGAAATATAAATTCCTTTAAAACCTCCATTTACTTAAGCTTTCCTTAGTCAAATCAAAAGGGAAAAAGCACAAAATATTTATTATCAAGAATATGGAATTAGGGCCGGCGCTATAACTCAGTGATAGAGCRCTCGCCTCACACAGGTGAGCCACTGGATTCCATCCTCAGTATCACATAAAATAAATGAACAAATATTGTGTCCATCTACAACTAAAAAAAATTTTAAAAAAATAGAATCAAATCAATTTCTGTAAACTCACCCAATGTCATTATAACCTATCAATGCAGACACGATTGTCACCATTCACAGGATCCATCCAGCAAATGTTGATTGTGCGCTTGTTTGCCACACTCTGCTACAAGAGGGACTCAAGAGGAGAAAGAAGAGCCCCTGCTCTCGGCAGAGGAAAAGTGTTTCAGGCACACCCAACATTAGGGATGCTTAAAGAAACTACTATGATCACTGAATTCAATGTCTTTTGTGAGTTTTGATAAAAAGATTTACGAAAAGAGATGAGACTATGGGGGTGGTGAATTCTATGTCATTCCAAAGAATTTGGACTTTAGCCCAAGGGCAAAGTCAAAAGCAGTGAAATAAAGTGATTCCATTTATCCTTTAGAAATTAATTCTGACAAGTGTGAAAATGAATTGCAGAGAGAGGGAGTGAGAGCTACATATAAAGGGAGGCTAGGGGAAACTTTTGCTTTCAGTTCTCCTCCCAAAGAGGTGCTACCCTACATTGCCCAGTACTCTCATCTGTATGCCTTACTGTACAGCCAAACGGAACAATTCAGTGGTTCCCCAACACACCTTGAGAACTTGTTATTAGTCAGCCACACCCTGTTTTTAAGGTTTTAAATAGTCATCAAATTTGGAATAACATAGATTTGGAATCAGACTTGATCAAACACCAAACTTGCCCATTGCTTTGAGTGGGTTTGGCTGGCTTCTTAATCTCTGATAAACTTTCTAAATTTCTAATAAGTTTCTTCATCTGCAAAAAAATTTTTAAAAAATGCCCAGTAGTTCTACCTTTTAGTATTRTAATGAGACTGCAAGATGGTAATTGACACATGCATTTACAATACCTAGCACACCGTAATTGCTCAACTGGTGGATTAATAATAGCAGTTAACATAATAATATTGGTATAATAAAAATAAAGTATACAACTATATATCATAAGATCTACATTTGAGTTCAAGAACCACTTTTTTATACTAACTATGTGATAGGCTTTATTTTTCTCTTCTGTAAAATAGGGTAATAACAATATCTAACTCATAAAGTTATTGTAAGGATCAAGTATGTTTCCCAAGACACTTTGTTAACTAAAAGTACTCTACAAATAGAGTTATAAAAACAATAAGTGTCTGGTAGATGAATGAATGATTATACTGACACAATCTCTAAGGTATCATTAACAAAGTTTAATGAGTTCACTTTCTCATCCAGCCTGGAAAGCATTTATTAAGCACCTTATAGCACATGGCCAGATGCCATACTAAGTGAAATGAAATTAGAGGCTGCCAACTAAACTAATAATTACAAAATTAATCATAAAATGTGAGTATTTTAGCTGTTTCTTTCATCTTACTGTAAGTGCAGCAGTTTTATCTCCAAAGCCTTTTGGAAAAAAGACAGTTTTGAATTGTCTCGCATCTGCTTTATCCTCATCAAAATTGGTACAAAACTGCTGAAGATATCTTCCATAGCACTGCCAAAGAGCCAGTTTGTATTCCTAAAGCAAAAAAGAGGACTTGATTAAAGTTCAAAAATATCATTTTAAGATTAACATTCATATTATTCTTAAGAGTATAAATGTTAATTATCACTATCACTACTTTTACTACCATCACCATCGCCCAAGCACTGCACTGTGCCACTTGTATGTTATTATCTCATTTAATTCTGCTAACAAGCCAACTGTGACATGGGACCATCAAGATCACAGAGATGAGAATACTTACTTTGTGTATGGTAAAATCTGCATACACTCGAAATCCAGTATCACCAGACAGTAGTAACCCACACACACTGAGAAGGAGATAAGAAGCCTTAACATCCTAGTAAAGCTGGAGAGAGGGAGGGGTGAACGCTGTATCAGGACAGACGTGCTTCCCTTCTGTCACCCATGGAGCAGAAATGTCCTGGGAGTTCCTAGCAGGGAAGGTGAGCAGTGCTCTAAGGACGAATTTGTTATGGTCCTTCCTCAGTTTCGTCGCCTGCTTCTGTGCCTTGGGAAAAGCAACTGCCCTGGATGTGAACTGCCTGTCCATCTACCTAACCCCTTGGGAGGCATCCATGGCCAAACACTGTTCTGTTTATATTCCTGTTAATTTGGTTGTTATTTGCTCCCTAATTCTGAATCTTTCCCATTCTAACTTTATTCAGATAGTAAATTCAAATACATTTAAAATAAGAGTATTCCACAAGATGATCTTTATTAAAATTAAAATAATCTATACAATTCAAGTTCATTTTCAGGATTATAAAGACCTTCAGTGGCCAACTCTCCCATCAGTGAAAAGTAGATAAAACATTTTCTTTGTTCCTTTTATTTAACAATGCCTTCTCTTCTCTAGGCCTTTCTGTCAGAGACATTGAATCCTTAGCTTCTTTCAACCCTAACCAACTTGCTTTATCAACTTCTGACATGCATCTTCCTCATCTCTCCACAAATACCCTCTCCACCTTCCTTTACACCCCTTAAACAACCCCAACTATGCCACATATCACAGCTTCTGAGAAGTTCAGCTGTGAAGATGGAGGTGGACTCCCTTCTAATTCTTATCAAAACTGTTATTTCACTTCACATGAATATAGTTTACAAATAGAATCTTACCTAGATGGGTTTGTTGTTGTTTGCTTGTTTTATAGTTTTCCAAACCCTGTATTTGCAAGTTTCTAACACCATGGTCCATTAACATGGGACTAAGATTATCTCTGACTTAGGCAGAGGAAAACAGATATTAGTTCTTTATTATGAAAGTTCTTCCACATCTTATCCTGTGTTTGGTGAATTTGCCTCCCAGACCAAAAGGATTGAAGTTATGAAAATATAAATGGAGGAAGAAAGTTAAGTTGACAAACCGAAGATTGAGAAAACTGAACTGTCCATATTGGGCCCCTTCTAGATAAAATAACTCTTAGTCTAACTCTTCATATAATTTAGAATAATCTGGACCTATGCCAGAGCTTAAGGAGAAAATTCACATTATGATTAACTAAGAACCCAGCCATAGCATGGTCCTATCAAATCAAGTCCACAGGTCCACAGCATTCCAAGATCCAGGCATTCATATGAAACTAAAAATAGGGCACAAACTCAGTTTGGAATAAAATACTGAGCAGAAAATAGGGCATGTATGGAATGACAGCTATAATCACATACAGCAAAACATCCAAATGCTCAGTCATTTAAACAGGACACTGGGCAACATAACAGCAAGGCCAGTAGCTATGAAGGCTGTCCCCTGGGCAAGGCCAGTATGTGGAAAAACAACAGGAAGTGGTGTCTGGGCTCCTTTGTATAAGGTGGAACATGATGACTCAGCACTTCCTGTTGTGCACCTACCACACCCTCTGTTAGACCGGCTAAGCTCCTTCCCATCCCCAGCCAGGCTCCTGTCCTTTCAGGAACCTCTTGTCCCTGGAGAATTTTAACTACACAATTAAAAAGCAAACACATTTTTGTTGTTGTTGTTGTTGTTGTTGTTGTTGTTCTGGGCCTCACTAAAATCTTCATGTATTCACATATTTTTTTCCCTAAGGAAAAAAAAATCATGTATAATAGGAATGGTATTATATCAAGTAATAATTAGCCAAATAAGTTTCATCTGGGCTCTTTTTCCTCCAGCGGCACTTACTTTCATTTGACAAAGGCTATCTCCAACCTTCAGAAGCTTTTCGTTGTAATAGTCATCTGGCAGCCGGGGGGCGTATTTGGTCCAGATATTAAACAAAGAGGTGGCACTGTAAAAATCATAAAATAAAACAACATCTTCAAAGTCAGCTGGAAACCTCAATTAATTAGTAAGCAATTCCTAAAACTTGCCTTGTGCTAAGTGTTTCCAATGTGTCTGTTAATAATAAATATATGGTTAAAATTATTGCTTTCTATGTGCCAGACATTGATCAAAGCTCTTTGTATGCATTTTTTATACACTTTATTTTAGAGCAGTTTTAGGTTTACAGCAAAATTGAAAATACAGATTTCCCACATACCTTCTGCCCCCACATATGCACAGCATCGCCCCCCATCAACATCCACCACCAGACTGGTACCATTTGTTACAAATGATGAGCCAATATTGACACATCATTATCACCCCAAATCCACCGATTATGTATTCAACATTATCATAGAAAGCAGTTTTACCACCCTAAAAATCCAGCGCTCCCCCTATCTATCCCTCCCTTCCCCTTTATCTTTACTGTCTCCATAGTTTTCCCTTTTCCTGAATGTCATCCATATGTAGCTTTTTCAGAGTGACTTCTTTCATTTTGTGATGTGCATCTAAGTTTCCTCCATGTCTTTTCATGGCTTGATAACTCATTTCTTTTTAGCACTAATATTTGTTATTTTTTTATTTGTTTTATTTTTGCACTCACTTTCTAAAGGATAGCTTGGTTGTTATGAGTTTTGGCAATTTTGAATAATATTGTTAAAAACATCCATGTGCAGGTTTTTATATGGACATAGTTTCCAAATCCTTTGGGTAAATACCAAGTGGCATACATAATTTCTAGACCACAGGGTAAGAGTACGTATAACCCTATATGCAACTGCCAAATTGTCTCTCACAGTGTTGCCTGTTTTTCATTCCCACCAGCAACCAATTCGTTGTTCCACATCTCCACATTGTTGCCAGCATCTGATGTTGTCAGTGTTCTGGATTTTAGTTTTTCTGATAGGTATGTAGGATATCTCATTATTATTTTAATTTGTACTTCTCTGATTGATAAGACATAGACAATCTATTTGTATGTTTATTTGCCATCTGCATATCTTTTTTGGTGAGGTGTCTGTTAGGGTCTTTGATCCACTTTTTAAAAACAGGTTGGTTTTATTTTTCTTCTTGTTGAGTTTTAAGAATCTGTTGTATATTGTGGATAATAGTCTTGTATCAGATATGTCTTTTGTAAATATATTCTCCAGTTTATGAAATATCTTTTTATTCATTTGTTTGTTTGTTTGTATTGGGGGTCGAACCCAGGGGCAATCCACCACTGAGCCACATTCCCAGCCCTTTTTTGTATTTAGAGACAAGGTCTCACCAAGTTGCTTAGGGCCCCACTAAGTTGCTCAGGCTGGCTTTGAACTCACAATCCTCCTGCCTCAGCTTCTTGAGCCACTGTGATTACAGGCATGTGCCACTGTGCCGGCTCTTTTTATTCTCTTTACAGTGTCTTTCATAGAACAGAATTTTTTAATTTTAATGAAGTCTAAATTATGAATTCTTTCTTTCATGGATTGTGCTTTTGGTGTTGTATAAGAAGTCATCACCAAACCCAAGGTCATCTAGATTTTCTTCTATTATCTTCTAGGAATTTTATAGTCTTGAATCTTACATTAAGTCATATGATCCATTTTGATTTAATTTTGTGAAGGCTATAAGGCCTGTGTCTAGATTCACTTTTTAGCATGTGGTTGTCTAATTTTTCTGGCAACGTTTATTACAAAGACTATTTTTCTTCTCCATTGTATTGCTTTAACCCCTTTGTCAAAGATCAGCTGACTATTTATTTCTGGGCTTATGTATTCTGTCCCATTTTTCATTTGTCTATTCTTTCACCAATATCACACTTGACTACCACAGCTGTATATAAATCCTGAGATGGTGTGGTATCAGTCCTCCAATTTGTTCTTCTCTTTCAATATTGTCTTGGCTATTCTTTTGCCTACATGCTTTCCCCGCCCCCCCACAATTCATCTTCACAACCCCAAGATGAGAAATAAACCTAAGAGAGGAAATAATAATAACCCTGAGGACAAGGACCTCAATGACATGTTCATCTGCTCAGCCACAGTATAGTAAATGACTAGTACATGTTGAAAGAATGACTAATTAGGGAAATTTTTCTTGTTCTCATTTTATTCTCTTCTACAAAGAGCTAAGGGCTCCAATATCCAGTCAATCCATTTCAGGTTATGCATCCTTCCACCAAATGAAACCAAAACAAAGCATACAGTATTCTCGAAATGGTTTCCAGTCAGAGTTAAAAGGATAGCAGATCATTGTTTATTTTATTAATTCATTTAGTTAGCATCTATTCCTTCCCTCTCTCTTGGAATTTATAAATGTCTGTAGGAACAATCCCAAATTTCCTTTAACATATCATAAATTTCCAGAAAACTGAATGTAGTGGGCTGAATGTTTATGTCCTCCCAACCCAAATTCATACCCTAATCCCCAGTGTGGTTATATTTGGAGAAGGGCCAATTAAGGTTAAATGAGGTCATGAGAGTAGAACCCTACACTAATGGGATTAATGCCCTTATAGGAAGAGAAACCATTTTGCAATGCATGTACTTGATTCTGTTCCTCACCATGTATTCTAACAAGACTTTCAGCATCAAGCAATTCTTGGTCAAGAAACAAAAGCAAAATCATCCCCCAATGAATTCTGATAAAAACTGGTAACAAAATCAGGTACAACTCCAAGAAGAGACGTCGGTGAGGAACCATGCTGTCTATAAAAAATTACACATGAAATGGCTCACACATTTATGCTGTATCAAGATCATGATCATCTTATCAGATCAAGCTGAAAATGTCACCACATCTGGACAGTTGGGCATATTTAACTGGAATCTGGCCTTTCTTCAGCTATGAAGGTGCTGTAATACTGGTTTCAGTATCTAAAGGAATCGGGTAGGGGAATCTAGACTCTCTCCAAGCTGTCTCAGAGGAAAGGCCATGTGATGGCAAAGTAGCCTTCCACAAGCCAAGAAAAAAGTCCTTACCAGAAATCTGGGACTTCTTGCCTCCAGAACTATAAGAAAATAAATTTCCCTTGCTTAGGCCAAGCGGTCTATGGTATTTTTGTTATGGTAGCCTGATCTAACTAATATAGACAGGACTCTAAACTTAGGGACTAAAGAACAATCTGATAGTCATGATGTCCATGCTGGGATACTAATGAAGCAATCTCTACAGAAACCTGTCAATTCATTCATTTGGGTAATTAAATGATACTAATTGGGTCATTGAGTGAAGAACACAAAGCACTCCTGCCTTTATAAACTGCTTAATAATACTTTGGGGTAGAAAAATATATGTGTGTACCAGTAATAAATGATCATGCCAAATAAATAATGTGACAGATATAAACCATAGAAGTTTTAAAAGGGAAAGATATTTTGTTTGTTCATTTTTAACCTTTTGTACTTGGATTTGCTGYTTCATGAAATGCCTCAGGCTTAGAATAAATATAATGAATTCAAATATATAACCAGTCAAATATATAACCAGCTAGAATTCTTAAATTATGTGGATGAAATAGTTAATGCTTCCAAACCTTCCAGATGAGAAGTTTTGTTCTGATGATGACTAGGTTTGTTACTCATAAAAGAAAAAAGCAGCTTTATCAAATTAATCAAGGTTATATAATAGGAAAAAGATTTTTTTAGTGACTCTTTAAGTTCAGGCTGAGGCTACTCATTAATAATGGCTTACATAATGATTAAACAAAATATAAAACACACTGTAGAATATATATCATTTAAAAAGACAATATATTAAAGACTTTGCATTGCTGATTAGTTATAGCTGTTACTGGGTATTTAGATTGTTCTAAAATTGAAAACTGCAACTGTATAAACAGAATACCTAAATTTTATCTCCTTATAACAAAAATATATTTTTTAAATGTTCACACAAATATTTAATGACATTGCTGTTATAATCAGAATTTATATTTTAATGCTTACAAACATTCTTATAAGAAACAAGTTTTGATTTTTAAAATAGTTGTCCGGGGCACAGGAGGGACCCAGGTTCGATTCTCAGCACCACATAAAAATAAAAGCATTGTGTTGTATCCATCTACAAAAAAAAAAAAAAAAAAAAATCATTCTCTCTCTCTCTCTCTCTCTCTCTCTCTCTCTCTCTNCTCTCTCTCTCTCTCTCTCTCTCTCTCTCTCTCTCTCTCTCTCTCTCTCTCTCTCCCCTTTGGAAAAAAAATAGTTGTCTGTCAAATACATTATCAAAACAACTCCTACCTCTTGGGCTCTATGCTACCATTCTTGCTCCATTTGGACATGATCACCAAAACAATATTTTAAAACATAATTATGTAAGGTTAGTCTCTTACTGAAAACTTCCTAATGATTTCCCACTGCATTTGGGATAAATGCAAACTCTTTAAAGTGGTGTCTAAAACATCCCAAAGCCCTATATATTCTTGTAATTTCAGTTTATACCATTGTACCTGAATTCACTATGTTTCTGCAAAATGGGCTTCTCTGTATTCCTTAGGGTACCTGGCTCTATCCTGCCAAGGATTTTCCTTTATGCTTGTTCCATTTATCTTTCTGTCTGATCAATTCTCAGGCACCCTTCTAATCTCACCTTAATGTCACCTCTCTTACCATTCATTTGAATGCAAGTTGCCACCATATTCTCTTCAACTCTCCACTCAGATATCTGTCATCTATTTTGATCATCTTACTGAAAATTGCAACCTCCTGTCTCCAAGTCCATAACCTCTCCTCTTCTTTTTCTCGTCAGAGGTCACCAATTTCTAGATTACCTTAGAGTACCTATTTGGTATATTTAATGTCTATTTTGGAATCTAAGCTCCAGGAGGGCACAGATTTTTGTCTGGTTCACTGCTGCATCCCCAGAGCCTTGTCCAATGCCTGGCACATATAAATGCCTGATAGTTCTTTCATAGTACTTTCTTGTGTGCTGACTTAATGACTCATTGAAAGTATCTCCCTCTCCAGTCTATCAACTCTTTGAACAAGATTCCTATATCTGTTTTGTTCACTGGGCAATCAGTGACTAGTGCAGTGCCTGGAACATAAAGGGCAAGCAATAAAAATTCTTGCATTAATAAAATCACTAAACTATATGAGAAGCTGGTCTGGGCCAGTCCTTAACATTTGCCATTTTATTATACTATGTTTAAAGATGAGACAGTGTCCTTACAAATTGACCCAGGACTGTTTTCCTATCCATAATGTTCAGAATTACTAAAAATACTAGGATAATAACCCTTGAATTCTTGCAATACCAAATATTTATTGAATGTTCACTATGACCCAACTCCCAGGTAGGTCCTGGTGGTAAAATGATGAAAAGCAGACCCACTATCCCAAGTCACCAGGGAACTTACATTCTGGGAGGGCAATACACAAGAAAACAAATAGATTTAAAGATATATATGTATATTGAGTATGTAGTGTGCCCTTCTTGGTCAATTCTGGGTTCTCATCTTCCTTGGCCCACCAGCAGGATTTGCCACAGTGATCATTGAAAACTTTCTCTCCCTTGCTAGAAGTATGCCATACACATTCTGGTTTTCCTCCTACCTCCTAGGCCACTCACTGCTGGCTTCTTTACAATCCTACTTGTCAGTGTAGGAATATCCCAGGGCTCAGTGTTTCACTCTCCTCTTCTGCATGTAGATTGTCTCCCTTAGCTATTCCATCAGGTGTTTACAATTGAATATCAATAATAAGTTGATAAATCCCAAATGTGTATATCCTCTGACTTCCAAATTCAAAAGTCCATCTACCTAATAATAGCTCTGCCTGAATGTTGAGTTACATCTCAATGTATCTAAACTTAAATTCCTTCATCTACCTCCCTTCTACCTGAAACCTGCACCTTCCACAATCACAATCCCACCCCACTTCCTTCACACTTGTGATTCTCTTTGTGTGGACTACTCTTTGCATAGAAATCTTCATCAACTTCTCCCACATGTCCTCATTTTTCTAAAAAGTCACTTTTACTGACTTTCCCTAACCATGGGCCAAGTCATCCCATTTTAAGTTACAATACTTATCCAATATCCTCCATCCCCATTCCCTGCTCTATTTTTCTCTCTAGTATTTATCTCCTAATAAAATGCATTTACAATAGTTCTCCTTATCCTCAGGGAATACATCCAAAGACACCCGTGTGTGCATGAAACCACACATAGTACGAAGTTCTATATTTGTGATAGTTTTTTCTTATACATACATAGCCATGATAGTCTTACTTATAAATTAGGCACAGTAAGAGATTAAAATAAGCTTGGCGAGGTGGTGCCCACCTGTAATCCCAGTACCCCAGGAGGCTGAGGTAGGAGGATCACGAGTTCAAAGCCAGCTTCAGCAAAAGTGAAGTGCTAGGCAACTCAGTGAGACCCTTTTCCTAAAATAAAAATAAAAAATAGGTCCGGGGATGTGGCTCAGTGGTCAAGTGCCCCTGAGTTCAATCTCCAGTACCAAAAAAAGAGAGAGATAGATGAAAATAATAACTAATAATAAAACAATTACAATATACTATATCAAAGTTATATGACTGTGCTTGCTCTCTCTCAAAATGTCTTATTGTAGTATAGATATTAATAACCTCAGCATACAATTATTTTCTTTCCTCATTGAGAACTTTTACCTTCTCACTTAAAGAAAGCACTTTATGGCTCTCTTTGGCATATCTGAATTGCCAGCATTTCGACTTTGGGACCATTATTAAGTAAAATAAGGGTTACTTGAATGCAAGTACTATGATACCACAGCAGTTGATCTGATAATCTAGACTGCTACTAACTAATGGGCAGGTGGTTGCTACAGTATGGATATTACTGAATAAATGGATGAATCACATCCCAGTTGGTACAGAGCAGATGGTGTGATATTTCATCACAGTATTCCTGAAGATGTGCATTTAAAATGTATACATTGTTTATTTCTAGAATTTTCCATTTAATATTTTCAGGTAATGGTTGACGACTGAAACTACAAAGCAAAACCATATATAAGGGAGACTAATGTACTTCCACATTTTTTAGTGGATAGCTGTACTCACAAAAATATGTGCTCCATGAGGTAAGGGATTTTTATATCATGTTAACTTGATGTTTTCCTAGTTTCTAGAAAGGCACCTGATAGGTGCTCAATAAATAGTTAATTAGATGCATAAATGAATAATAAACATATTCTTTATATTAAATAAAAATACACTTTATATTAATTAAATAAACTATTTCTTTATATTAAATGCATAAACAAAAAAATGCAAGTTAAACCATTCACTATTCTGGTAGTTGCTACTTGTCTACATCTGTGACTGTTCTTTTTGCAATGTATTTGGCCAAGAAAGATGGTAACATAAACAGGAAAGAATCTTAAAAACAGGTAGTTTTCAGTTCACAGAAATAACACGGTGATAGAATCCAAGGGAAAAAAAAAGGCAAACAGATGTGCAGATGAGTCACAAAGTCTACGGRAAAAAAAGTCTCTCTGTGATTCTAATAGTAACATAAAAAGGGAATAAAAATGCATGTGTTCCCAGGATGACTGACTTCGTGCTTCATGATATTAAGAACTTCTTCGAGAACCTAAGCCACCTCAAAGTTATTCCTTTATCTTTGTATACAAAATTGTTCACCCACTAAATCAAAAGTTGTGACACCCCTGAGTCCAAAAAAAAAAAAAAAAAAAAAAAAAAAAAAAGTATTAGCCTAGAGGAGCCATCAAGGGACACTCAGAAAAAGAACAAATGGTGAGTTAGGAAACATTTCCGTGTTGATTTTTATTTTGACCTGAGCAGGAAGCCAACATACACGTAACCAAGATTTCAGGTTGTCATGGCGACGAATCTCCACTTCTGCAACTTTGTTTCTCTCTCCTGGGCCCTCTGGTCAGGCCCGGCGTCCACCTCGCTGACCGGGCTCTAGGGGCCACCACCTGCCTTCAAGGGCATCACCTCCTCCCCAGCGCCCGGCCTCCGCTTACCAACGCCGATGGAATTCGTGCTTCTCTTCCGCCGTCGTGGCTAAAACCTGCTTTTTCTTCATAAAGCCTAACAACTCCCGAATTTCCTTCTCGAAAGAGGCGAGGAGCGGGTTTTTAGCGTCCAACGGCCCATAAAACGCGGCGATGGGCAACGGGTCCTCGGGAGTGGCTAGTTGAGGCTGCGGGCTCGGGGAGCTCGCCTTCGACTCCCGGGGCGACTCTGAAATTGCAGTCGAAGTCAGGGGTGTGGTCGATGGCAGTTCTTGGGGCGACGTGGATGTGGCAGACGTGCCCGACAGAGGGCTAGAGCTGGGGCCCTGCGCCGCCATATTGACGCGACCCCGGCCGGCCGGCGGTGTGGACACACGCGGTTGCCTGGCGACGGTCTCGAGGCCACCAAGCATCCCGCGCGCACTCCGGGAAACACAGCGTCCCCTGGAGGACAGAGGAATAAAGAACTGGATCCAGAAAGGAGTGATGCTCTGAAGGTTATTTTGTCCTGTTGCCCATTGGCACCGCTGTCTGAGCTGAGAATAGAAAGAAACTTTGGAACAGAGAGCCAGCGAATATGACAGCTGAATTTTTACCATCACGAATCCAGACTGTACTTCTTTTTTCATTTTAACCACTTAATAACAATAGTGGGTGATGGTGAAGCTGCTCATAATGATGATATGACATACATTAGTATGTCAGACGTTGTTGTTATAAGCATATGAAACACAAACAATATCACATTTCATTTAACCATCATGATAACTTTGCCATTAAGATTCTGTTAATACCTCCACTCCACAGTTTAGGAAATCAAAGATGAGGAAGGTTAAATTATTTGACCAAGGTCAGAGGAAAACCATAGCGTCAGAGACCAGGTCCTCATCTTGTGACTCCAAAGCCTGTGCTCAGAATGAATGAACATTGATGACTCCCCAAAATGAAGYTTATTAATATAATTGAAAYGATGAAACCCTCTGACAAGMAGTTTAAGAATCAAGAACCTGTAATTGATCCATTCTCTTCCCTTTACATCTAAAACTGTGGAAATGATGATTTGCCTCTAATAATAATTTATTTATTATCATTTCACCCTTATCCTAATTATCACTATATTGCAAATTAATATATATTTTATACAACYTAACTATTTAACAAATTTATACTAATGATCTGAAGTGATAACTCTCAAAATACTTTTGCATTGTATGAAGTGATCTTAGGAAACTTTCACTTTTAATGGGGAAACTACAGACCTCAGGGTAAATAATTGGTGGCAAAGGAAGTTMTTCTTTCCCCACATATTATGGGCAACAGTGACAGTCAAATTTTAAAGTTTCAAYTTCAACTAATAGGGAACCTGCTTTYCTTATAAGTTATGCAATGCCAAAAATTATATTATAGAAGAACCACAATTATTTGGTAGCTTGGGGGGGAGCAGGCATTTAATGCTAAAAGTTGTTATCAGTTCTTTCACACTTAGAAATAAAGAAAAACAGTGACCCTAACACCCTGGGAGCCTGATTTCCCATTCAAGATTAAGAAGCTTATTAGACCACAGCCTGATTTCTTCCAGCTCTGACCTCATTTCTTGCAAGCTCTGTGGGCCTGYACTAATTTGTAAGACTAGCATGATATGTCATGTGTACTGTACCCTAATATTCTTTGAAGTAAGATTACAGTGATTTTGCTCTTTGAGGCAGGTAATAATTATGGCCAGAGAACCTTTGTGGCAAGCAGTGAAATGCAAGAATGCCTCATTATCAGAGTCTGTTTCTCCARTCAAGGTGTAGATATCATCCTTTGATTGGCAAAGATTTTACTCTGTCTCTAGATGAGCAGTAAAAATTTTAAGACTTTAAACAACTTATGCTTAGGGAGAAAATCATCTTTGGGACCTTTACAAAACAAATGATAGACTTTAAAAAAAAATCAACTTGGTAAATTCTCTTATTTCTCATATTTCCCTTGTTTTTACAGAGCATACTTGTCCTCTTCAGATCAAAAGCCGGTGTAATTTGCCAGTGATAACTAACGCTCATATTGATGAAAGTGGAACAGCAAGGTTCAATTAAATTAAAGTGGTCAGAGAGTAGAAAATAAAATAAATAAATAAAWATCAGATAAAGTAGGATTCCCTACCCCACCCCATCTGACTGATCTCACAAAYAACCTTTCTCATAATGCAAAACATTTCAAAGTCACTGAAAAAAGAAAATGTAACAAATTAAATTCAGATACTTGAACTATGAAACATTGCATCTTAGTCATCTTTCTCCTGGGGCATACTTCAGTCAACAATGCTTAACTTGCAGTAGTTTTTGGAAGCTTGTCTGAATATTTAAATGGGTCTTGTATTCTGAATCATCATCATRGTAAGATGGAAGTCTCCATTTTGTTCAATTTAAATTATATTTGAGGCATTTTAAAAACATTTTAGAGATGTTATCTTTCTTATAATGAGATGCAACCATTATAATATCTTTACTGTTTCCTTGTCAGTTTGCTTTATTCTTTTCACAGTAATGAAAGAATGGAGCTATGCAACCACCGTGTCTGACAGGGCTAAGTAATGTAAATAGCTTCCTTATAAATAATGTAAATTGCTGTTTCTTATAATTAGTGCCTTTGCAAGCTGCAGGGATCCTTTTTGCCCATTCAAAATTCTTTTTCATTTAAAGTTACACTTAGAGAAATAATAAATACTTTATATTAGTAGTTCAGTTGTTAATCACTTAGGCTGTCTCAAATAGATATATATGGTGTTTTAAAAAAAAAAGCTCAAAAATCTCCTTTTTCCACCTCTTAATATGTAGGCTTTCAAAACTTTTTTCATTCATTCATTTAACTACAACTATTTCTTTAGTGTGTCCATACAATGCATTAGATGAGCCCACACATTCCCTACAAGAAGCAAATGACACATACAACAACCAACCATGATTTGAAGGCATGCTATATATGTGCTGTGATAAAGGTTTAAAATATTATGGAAGTCTCAAGATGAAGCTTGTTAACTGGACAGAGAACAAAGGATTATAGAGGAGACCATGTTTTAGCCCTGCACTGTAACTGCCCCTCAGTAACAGAAAGACCCTGGCAACAGGGACTTGCCTAWGACTATGGTAACCTAGCACCCAAGCCCAGTGCCTGGCACAGAGTACTACCAAATAAATCTTTGTCGGAATGAGTGAATGAATTTTTTTTTTAAATGAAGAACATTCACCAAGATATCTCTGTCTGAGAGAAAAGCCTGAGCAAGATACAAAATCATAAACATTTACAGAAATTTAAGTAGTCTTGTGTGGTGAGCCACTGATTGAAATACATCAAGAGGCACAAGATGAGGTAGAAAAAGAAATATGATCAAACACAGTGGGTAGTTGGGAGACATGCTCAAAACTGTGACTTGATTTTGTATTCAGTGRAGCTCCTTGGTTAGAAAAACATACAGGTAGTTCCCAACCTATGAAGGTTTGACTTAACAATTTTTCAACTTTACAATGTTGGGAAAGCATACCCATTCAACCATTTCTGTTTCCTACTTTCAATACAGTATTCAATAAATTACATGAGATACTCAACACCTTATTAGAAAATGGACTTTGCACTGGATGACTTTGCCCMACTACAGGCTAATGTTAAGCACTYTGCACACATTTAAGACAGGCTAGGCTAAACTGTGATGTTTGGTAGATTAGGTGTATTAAATGCATTTTTAACTTGTGATTTTTTTTAACATACAATGGGTTTATCAAGATATAACTCCATCAGAAGTTAAGGTGGATATAACTCCATCAGAAGTATAAGGTGGAGATTAAAAGCCCAAATTTGGGGGCCAAAAGGTATAATTTGTATCTTTAGTTCTTCAAAGTTACTTAAATTCACTATGCCTTGTTTTCTTCATCTATAAAATGGGGGGGTGAAATAATMGTACTTTCTACCTCATATTTCTATGTTGTTTAGAATCAAATGATAAGATGTGTAAAACCYATAAAATATTGCCTGGCACATTGGAAGTGCTATGTAACGTTTGCTAGTTATGATTATTTACTTGGGAACCAATTTATATTTTATATATTTTAGAAAGGAAATTATGGCAAAATGAAAGATAKATTGGAATGATGAAGATTATATTCCATCTCAGCTACACAGATCATTACAATAATTATATACAATTAACAGGCAGAAGTAGCCAACTAAAACCATTATAAAAACTGAGGTGGAATCAGTAGGAAGCCAAATCCTAATCAATAAACCAAAGGGAAAGTTAGAGAATAATAGGTAATTTTATATATAAAATTTTATATATACATATATGCACATACATATATAAAACATACATATATACATAAAATTTTATACATACATATATATGACATAGCATAGCACATAATTATAAAAATAATAAAAGAAATTCTAACAGAATRTTTCAGTGGTTCTGAAGAAGAGGCTTCCTTAAAACCTATAAAAGTAAAAGATGTAAAGGGAAATACTGATTAATATACTGAGATAAACTCTTACAAGGATAAAAGATAATAAAAGTGGAATAACAGGCCACACATTAAGAAAAGATATTTGTGCCAGGCATGGTGATGCATGTCTATAATCCCTGTAATCAGGTGGCTAAGGCAGGAGGATCACAAGTTTAAAGGCAGCCTTAGTTACTTAGTGAGTCCCTAAGCAACTTAGTGAGATCCTGTCTCAAAATAAAAAATAAAAATGGATAGGGATGTGGATCAATGGGTAAGCACTGATGAGTTCAAACACCACCACCTCTACCAAATATATATATATATATATATATATATATATATAGAGAGAGAGAGAGAGAGAGAGAGAGAGAGAGAGAGAAATGCACCACCTACTGTGTGTGCACTATGTTGACAAATATCAATTCTAAATCTCAATTGATGGAAAGACCAGATTAAGATTTTTCTTGGGTAAATTTAACAGATTTACTTATTACAAGATACCAATGGAAGTCATTGTAATCTGGATACGTAACAAAGAGATCATCAAAGAAGTTCAGGATGTAGCTTCCAAAACCAAAAATCCTCACCAATGATATCTACCTGTGAATGGTGATACCTCTGCATCTTTCAAATCTCTGATGCTTATACAAGTATCTGTGATTCCTCTTGGGTGCCATATGGCTTCTAATTTAACAYTTCAGTATGGACAGTTTCAGATTCCTACACTTGGCCTTTTTACCCTAATAGTTCGAATTCCAGGCCTTTCAGATCCARTGTTACAGGGCTGGGGCTAGGGCTCAGTGGTAAAGCGCTCACCTAGCAAGTGCAAGGCTCTGGGTTCTATCCTCAGCACCACAGAA